GAAAAAATACGTTTTTTTAAACTTAATAGATGAAATTTTCAATTTTAAACGTTAATATCTCGAAAACTACATGTTAAATAATTAACACATTACACATATTCTTTCGCGCAGTAACTGTTTCATTTACTCAGTCGCGCTTCAAAAATATAACCCTCTTCGGTCCAACAAAGCGGTATTCATAATTCATTCGCGTCAAAGTCCTTTCTGCACTGGCGGCCTTTAACCGCGCTTCAAAAAATTAACCCTGATCAATTCATCACCCGGTGTCCATACTTCCTTTGCGTGCTGAAATGAGTTCTATTCGTCCATACCATCACATCGTGGTGAAAAAGAAATTGAGACTGTTACATTTCCTCCAAATTTTTTTCTCAAGAATTTATTTATTTACATCTAAGTGATCTGAATTCTACAGAATTCAGCCGCTGCAACCACTAAGTTACTTGAAAAAAATGTGCAAAATGTGTTAAATATATATTTATATATACAGTGATGTGCGATAAAATAAAGCCGCACAATCGCTGACGATGTTACTTCATTTAAAAGTTTTTTGTGAACCTAATATTCTATGAACTAACGGTAGATAAATAATAGCATAGTCTTTGAATATTATTTAAGTATTTCTAAAGTCAATTGCGAGTTCATTTTTTGCAAATCAGTGAAAGTGTGCTATTAACTGTGCAAACACGTGTGTTTTAAAATAGAGCCAAACGATAAAATTAAACATTTTGCGAAGCGAAAAAACTTTATTTGATAAAATTTTCAACAAAACGTGAGTAAAGGGTTTTAATTTTATACATTTAATGTAAATTTTGTTGTTTCATATAAAATAATAAAAACTTTGAGTTTACAATCAAAAAGCCAAAAGGAAATAGCTCGAATAGTTGGCTGCTAAACAAAAATGGTTGCGAATACAATAAATTGTAAAGAAAAACTAGAAAATAGAGGTAAAAAATCCAAAATCAGTGCAGTTTTTCAAAGGCGAATCCTGAGTCAGCTGAGAGAAAATCCGTTTGTGACCTCTTCCGCCCTTAAGAAGCAATATTCTTTGAATGTGAATGCTTTAACCATTCGAAAGTTATAATCAAAAACAATTTGAAAGCTAAAGTTGCTCGGAAGGTACCGTTTCTAACCATAGTCAATATAAAAAAACGGTTAAAATTTGCCGATGATCGTGCTAAATGGCCAGTTAGTAAATGGCAAAACATTCTTCGGTCAGATGAAACCAAAGTGAATTCTTTCAATTCAAACCAAAGTAGCCTTTCTGTGCGAAGACCGCCCAATACCGAATTCCTTCCACAACACAATAAAAATACGATAAAACATTGCATTAAACATTTTAAATGAAATCAATTACCTAATGTGGAGTTTAATATGCCCCTACAATTGGTCTTTCAACACGATAATGAAACACACATCGAAGCGGACAAAGGAATGGTTGAGACAAAACAGCATCACAGTTTTAAGCTAGCCCCCGCAATCACCAGACCTCAATCTTATATAAAATTTATGGCGGGAGTTATTATTCTTTATCCTATCCATTAATTATTTCATTAAAAATTACAGGTTTCAAATCACAGGAAACAAATAAATTTAAATAACGTATTCTGGCTCCATTTCAAAGCACAGCTAAAACGGGACATGCTAATGAGTTTTTAATTTTGATTTTAGACTTAAGACTTTTAATTGGTATCTTAATACCAATAAAGTCTGCGTTCACCCGATACATCCTCCTAAGTGAAGCAAAAACAAAATGTAAATAGGTAATTCAGCTCAAACCTTCTGCATATATTATCATTCTTAAGTTCAAAATGCAAAAACAAAAATGTATACTCCTATTTTCATTTCTGTGACAACGGGACCCTAGTGTAAGAACAAGTAAACATAGGCACCATTAAGTCTGCGTCCAGTTAGCTTGAATTGGAAATACCGTTACTTCTTATGAATGTGTTCGTTCTTTTTGCGTAGATTCTATTGTGTTTTAATATAATTAGTCGTTTTAAGAGCTCGTGACGCGTTTTAATAATATTAAAAAAAATTAAAACCAAAGGAAACGAAATTAGTTTGTCAGAAAGAAAAATTATTATTAAGTTGTGGAAAGATGGCGAAAGTTTCAGAAAAATTGGGAAAACTATTGGAAAAAAATTTAAAAAAAACCGGAATTTTAACGTAAAAACCGTGATTTGGCCGTCCGAAAATATTATCCGCCCGGGAAGAACGGAAAATAATAAATATGGTGAAAGTTAACCCTCGAATTACGTCCACAAAGATTATTGAAAACGTAAATATTACCATTAAAAAAACAATTCGTACCCAAACTGCTAGAAAAATTTTGCGAAAAGCTGGATATCATGGTAGAGTCGCTCGAAAGAAACCATATATTTCACTTGTAAACAGGCGAAAGCGCATTAAATTTGCTTATGATTATATAAATAAGTCGCCGGAATTCTGGACACAAGTAACATTTTCGGATGAAAGTAAATTTTGCATTTTTAGCATAAAAGGTCGACAAATTGTATGGCGCAAGTCAGGAACTGCCCTTGAAAAGTAAAATCTTTTTGGTACAGTTAAACCCGGAGGTGGCGGAATTATGGTGTGGGGTTGCATGGCGGTTGGTGGTGTGGGTAGGTTGAATTTATTGAATCCACAATGGATAAATGGGGTTATTTGAACATTTTAAAAAACAATTTGAAAGAAAGTGCATAATTTTTCTTAATCATTTTTAATACTTTTGTAACTAATTTTAAAGCTGAACGCAGACTTAATGGTGCCTATGTTTACTCCTCCCTACACCAAAATCCCGCTATCACAAAAATGAAAATAGGAATATACATTTTCGTCCCTGCATCCCGAACTTAAAAATATAAAGAAGAAACACATGTAGAAAACTTGAACTGAATTACCTATTTACATTATGTTTTTACTTTACTTAAAAAATAGTGTCGGGTGAACGCAGACTTTATTGGCTATGTGTATATACTCCATGCATTGTTTCTTTTCTACCAATAAAAAAAAAACTTGACAAAAACAACATTTCTTGAAATATATTGATTTAAAATATATCTATAGTACTGGCTCTAAAATAATTTTTTTTTTAAATCTTCTTACTCTTACGTGAAGTACATTTCCGTGAGCGAAAAGGGAATTTTTCCCTTAATTTATGTATATAAATATTTACAAACATATTTAACGCACTTTGCACATATTTTTCAACTCACTTAGTTGTTGTTGTTGTAGCAGCGGCTAAATTCTGCAGAATTCAGATCACTTAGCTGTAATTACCAATTCAGCGACTTAAACATTTTTTTGTGCAAAAAAAATACTGCAGATATGTAACAGTCACTATTTCTTTTGCGCCACGATCTGATGGTATGAACGTATATCGGAGATCGTCGAACTGCTTTCCGCACTTGCGGCCTTCGGCCGCGCTTCAAAAAAATAACCCTGATCGGTCCAACACCGGGGTGTTGATAATTCATTTGCGTCAAACTCCTTTCTGCACTAGCGGCCTTCGGCCGCACTTCAAAAAAATAACTCTGGTCGGTCCAACACCAGGGTGTCCATAGTTCCTTTATACCGAACTCTTTTCAGCAGCGGAAAAATTAAAAGAATTAATTTAAATGTATCACATTTTTTTTTATTTTTAATGCATAATGCAAATACAATTATTGAAAATATTCACTTTGCGCCCACGGATTTGGGGTCGGCTTTAGTATACCGTCCCAGGCTTTCGGGGATAAAATGGGCGGACATAGGAGATCCTCCAGATCAAGAATATAGGTATATATAAATAGCCGCGGGAAATTTATAGTTTTCGAGATATTTACGTTTAACGCTTTGGTTAGTTACAGTTCCTTTGAGTACATAGGTAGTTGTTTATTTCTTTACATGTACATACATACGTACATATATAATATATTATTTAAAATACCTATATAGGAGACCATCATCTTTCACATTAAACTTTATTTCAATCGTTTAGTGGTTTTTTTTTGCATTTCTGTGAAAACTTATTATAGTAATGTAGATTTCTTTCATACCATCAGAAAGTAGAGATTTCAACAGATCAAAATTAGGATATTTTCCGATATTAAGTCAAAATAGGGTGGAAAAACAAATATTTTAAAACACAAAATTACAACTTTTTTGGGACGTAAATATGTTAGTTTACCTTAATTACGTGAAAAAACATGTTTTATTTGTATTGTTTACATCGAGACTTTCTGTCCATGCAAGCCATAATTTGATCTAGAAACTGGGTAGACTTTGGTAGTATACATATATGAAGTATCCCCCGGATAATTTAAAAATCTGCACATTTTTTGGTTCAATTAACCAAGAAATCAATACATGTTTTATTGTACAATTCCTTCAATTACAGAAATCTTGCTTAATTGGATAACCTAAAATAATTCATATTTGCACTTTAAGTATTTATTTAGTTTTTAGTTACGATGTACAAAAAATATTTTTAACTTTAAACGGACTAATTGTTATAAAAAAATAAACTTAAGGAACAAAAACAATTCATATTATTGTATATATGCAACACTAACATTCAGATATTTAGAGATCGTTGCTTAAATTTTAAAAATGTTAATTAAATTATAAAATATATATATATATATATAATATAAATTAAACTATGTTTAAAGTTCTTGTATGTATTCGAGAACAGACGGAGGCTTTGGAGGATCACTTCTTTCTTTTGCTCCTCAACATCAACACCATTCAAAATTTCTTCCCCAATAAACATATGTTTTCAATTGCTGATGCTAGAGATTATTTTTTTCACAAAAGTTTTTTGTGCAATTGACACATATTTTAACCAATTATGCGGGAAAATTAGTTAACCGTAAAAATTTACACGCATTTTGTATACTATAAACGCTTGACCGATCAGGTGATTCAAATATTCGGGAATAAAATAAATATTCGTATTATGTGATTCGAAGCGGCCAGGACAACGTTATTTTACAATTTCATGACCTTTGCCTACTATTCAAGATCCAGATTTAAATGAAAATAAAGAGTGAAAGTCTGCGATACTTATGATATAAACAATTAAAACAACAAATATATTAACTTACTAGACATTATTATGAGCGACAGCAGTTTTATGCTGCCTCTGAATATTCGAAATAATCCCGACGCCGTGTAAAAACATTCTCTCATGGTCACAATGCAAAATTATCACTTGGGATAAATGTACTACGGCACACAAACATTCGCTTGACAACAAAACAATGACAATCTGTTCACTCTATTCGGCACTCAATCTCTCCTTTCATGTGATTTTAGATAAACAAATCATCGAAACTGTGGCGTAATGGTGGAAAAATACAGCTAAAAGTTCAAATACTTCAAAAGCATGAGAGAGGAAGAAAGAGTCGTTTTGGCAGCAAAAAAATGTGTTCGTGAACGAATTGAATTTTAAGATCTAACAATTGTGCCAAGCGACTTGTGATACAAATTGATCAATGCAGTTTGCGATGACGACTATACTGTAAATTATCCAAAATTATACAAGTCATTGTATTTACCAATCATGACACCAACTACATCTGAAAATTGGATCATCTCTAATTTCACTTCGGAATTTTATCGCATATGGCTGTGTCAAGTCATTCGATTAGTCATTAAAATATTGTTGTAAAACATTGATCGACAGCCCATTGCTCCCGAGCACTCTCTCAGCGTATTTGAGTATACGTGCGTTTCACACAGACTGGCGACAGTTATTATATCGTAGAAATGCCGACTCCGAGCCGAAAATCCCAATGATTCGTGCAGAAGTGCCAATCGCATTCAAAAGGGTTCAATTTCCAATTAGACTGTGGTTCGCAATGACATTAAAAACGAAATCTGTTTATGGCTTAGATTTCATCTAGGATTTTCACATAGCCAATTATACGAGGACGTACTACGAGGACATTTCTAGGGGTTTGAAGTCTAGACCGACTCCGTTAATTTTCAGCGGTAAATCACATTATGGATAAGAAAACATGTCCCGTTAATTTTATTAAAATATGAAGGATATTGATTAATATCAATGGAATATGAAAACAAATGGGATGTCGGAAATTCGTAATTTTGGTTTGATATACTATAGTATATCCAAGATTAGAGGTAACCCTATTTGAATCGGTGAGTAACGAGTTAATTTCGTAATTCTCGGAAAAACACTTAGCAGTAGAGTTTCTCTGATATTCTAACCCATGCTTGCATTGAGTCCAAAACAGTCCCGACAGTTTGTATTTAACACAGAGTATACTACCATTTTAATAGAGATAGTTTTCAATTTATCAATAATACTAGTAGGCTATTTTTTCATAAGACACAGTAATGCCATTGGTTTAAATATTTCGAATTATTGCGTGTTATTAATTGTTTATGAGTTAAAAAAAACTCTAAGAAGCTAGTTTTCAGAAAGTACTAAATCTAAACCTTAGTAATGAGCTTGAAGACTTGCTACTCCTGACCTTTACACACCCCCCACCAGACCACTAATATGACTTTCATAGAGTGCACTATTGTTAACATCTATATTACTATGACCTCACACACCGATGATTGCGCAATAATGATGTAGTGCACTGGAACCGTTAATATGTGTTTAAAAGTAAACCACTATCTCAGAACCAAACCAAAGTTCTGACAACACCAAAATTTTTTTTGCTAGTATTTACTCCGCATCTACAGAATACCGCGATTCGGTCAATCTCAGATTATTTTCTTTAAAACATGTCCACAACGAGATCTGTTTACTCCCAATTAAGAAGCACAATGGGCTCCTCTCCAAACAGTTTCTGCTTTCGCAGAAATCATCATTACAGTCACGCGCTCGGAACAGAGGTGCCTACCATGAATATACACCATCTTACCAACCAATCTTCGGACGCGATCAACTTCAGACAGGCATTAAATGCCGTTTTCAGCAAAATTATTAACACCTTTATTGACTCAGTTTTACACTTTATGATGAAATATGCGAAAATGTTTTCAGCAAGCTGGTTGATATAGCCTTAGCAGTTTTTGAGATAAGTGCAACAATTTTATAGCGAGGGGGGTCACATCCAATTTTCAATAAATAACACAAGAGTAAAAAAAATTGTACATATGAAGTAAGAATTTACAAGTTTCAATTCTATTTTTATCAATATCAGTTTTAGTTTAACGGCTGTCCCGATTCAATTAAGTTGGCAGAAACAACAAAAAATGTTGAAAGTTAAAATAAGTAAACTTAGGTCTGTCATAAGAAATAATAATAAATATGATTCAAGGACTTGTTTTAAGATATAAGGATTATTGTATTATGGATCGTTGTATTTTAGAGTGATATATAGTATTTTATAACTCACATAGGTAAGTTTAGTAAATATGAACATCAAGCGTTATAGTTAAATAATTATTTAAAAACCTGTAATAAGATTACTATCTTACGAGTCTAAATGATAAATATTTTGAAATATAACAAATGTCCTAATCATTTAACGCTGAAGATAACAAAAAGTTCGCCGCTAATTGCTCGTTTTTTTCGCAAGCAAAATATGCTTGCAAGGCCAGAGCCTCTGAAAAACCAAGTGATTTAAGCTAAAAGAAAGAAATTTTTGTAAGCTGTTTATACAATTTAAAAAAATCGTTAAAATTTACGCGATTAATTGCTTCCTCGTCTTGGGATGTGAGTAGAACTTTCATATTTCTACGTCCCTGTGAACGGCTTGAGACAGATAAATTATCGTTATCTATTGTGCTTGAAGCACCTCCATCTTCATAAATTTCGTGATGAACTGTATCAGAAGCATTAGCAGTTAAAGTCGCTACTGCAACTGCTGCTGCAGCTCTTTCACGTAAGAATACATCAGCAGCGGCTGCTCGACGTTCTGCCGCTCTATCTGGTTGAACATGCGAAAAGACATGTGGTATTGTATCGGCCCCTGCATCACCACTTTCTCCAGGTCGCTGGTGTGTAAGCAGTCCGTCACCGCCTGCACCAGCGGCTGTATCAAGAGAACGTACATGCAATCCATCTCCTCCAGCTGCAGCTCGAACTGCAGCAGTAAGCTGTGCACGTCGTCCAGGTGTCATCCGACGGGGATATTGCCGATTTACATCAGCACGTCCCTCCAAAGTTTGACTTAACATTCTTAGAAAAGCATCTTGGTTTTCCGATATAAGTTGCAGGAGCGCTGGATTAATTTGTCCTATCTGAGTGTATGCCTTTAAAATGCAATGTCACAATTTTAATGCTAAATATTTATAACTACTTGTTGGAGCACTCCATGTAAAGCATCGGGATTCTGATACATCAACGAACGCATGAGTAAGAACTGAGGTTGATTGCGAAAGATTTCAAACGGATCTATAAATACTCAAAAAAGTAAAATCATTAACTATTTGTGACTTTGATGCAATTATATTCACTTGTAACATATCGCAATGTCGTACGATTGTTTTCTAGAGACCGTTGATCGTCATCATACTCTTCAACTCTGTAATTGAAATTTAAGCCAATGTCAGCAATTGAATTTAACAAACTATCTCTCTCTTCGTCATAGACCCTAGCACGGTTAGTTCCCACAAGACTAGTACTATTCTCTTCTTCTTTTGTTGTATTGCTATTGAATATTTCTGAAGTATCTGACAAACCAGTTATTAAAAATTCAATTGCTCTGTCTGTATTATTGAAACAAGCAGTCATAGCGTGTTCCACGGTTTCACGACTAAACCCCATTTCTATCATTGATTCAATAGTACGATTGTATTCTTCACTCAATGCCAAATTTGATTCGGATCGTGTCTTCATTGAAGTATTAGAGAACACACCTGCAAGGTCACCACTTGAAAACGTGCTGTGGCTGGTTTCAGAACCTTCAGATCTAGTACTTCTGTCGGAAAAAAGAAATACGCCGGATCCACATGAAGATATACTAGTATTACTTCCGACAGAAGCCAAAACACTCCCTAAGCCGTTATTTTCCGTATCACCACTGACGAGGTTGTGAGTTTTCTCTAAAGTACTAGCAGACTGGACTTCTTTTTGTCTATTGTCATAAAGTTCCTTAGAACTTTCATTCAACGGTTCCCCGTCAGTTGGAGATTGAGTTGTATATTCCTTAAATTTACCGACATCATCTATTTTTTAAATTTAAGGAAAAAAACGAAACAAAAACAATTTTAAGGTTTTATATAAAATATGTTACCATCTTGATTGAGACCCACAGCATTACATAATTTTGCATGTTGACTTTCTCCAGAAAGGGGTCCACCACTATAACCACTCTTTTGATAATTACATACTTTGTTAATGCTATTAAACCGGATTGATGGCACATGACTGCTTTTATCATCGCCAATAAGAGCGGACTCTCTAGTGCTGGGGCAGTTCTCGTCATTATTGTTTGTGTCAGTATTATATGTAAGCAATAAGCTATCTCGACCAACTGTTGTAGTTGTACTGAAACTATACGATGTTTCTGTTATACCGCTAATTAAGTATTCTACGGCCCTTTCTGGATGGTTAAAACTGACTGCCATGGCCTTTTGAACATTTTCACGGCAAAAGCCCATCTCCATCATAGACTTAATTGTATATTCGTATTCTGAGCCCAGAGGTAAATTCCTTTCAGCTCCTGATTGTATCGAAGTTTTAGAAAACTCTCCTGCAAGATCACCACTAGAATAGATGCTATGACTAGTTTCAGAGCCCCCAGACTCATTACTGCTTCTGGAAAAAAATAAAACCCCAGACCCACTAGACAATATGCTTGTATTGCTTCCAGTAAATTCCAAGGCAGCTGCTCCATTAATGTTTTCAGTACTACCTATTGATTGGCTTTCCCCAACAGAGTCATCATTGGTTTTATTTATTGATATCGCTTTATCTTCTTTTTGTGCAGCCTGCTCTACTGATATTTTTTTGAATGATTCAGTGGTTGTTGTTATACAGTCAGATAATTTGCTGCATTCGTCCACCTTTTGAGTAGTGGAAACCGATGATACGACAGAGAAGGGAAAACATCCTCCATCAGGTTTATGAAAAGAGTTTTCAAAATCACGCTTAAGTATTATCACGATAAACTTGCTTTCGTCCATATCGTATGAATTAATACTGCGCTCATCACTGAGTATTACACCTATTTCACCAGAAAAAGAATGTTTTAGAAAAGTATTAAAAGATCATTATGTGTGGTACTAACCAGAATATATAAGTTTTTGATTTTCAACATTGTATTCTGGTCCTCTTTCAATATAAATCCTCTCCTTTAATTGAAATACCTATTGTAAAAACAACATAAAATATAAAATTCTATTTTACAGTGTAAGTTAACATGTCACACATTTTAAAAATATCATATCATGCATTAATATCATACGATACAAAGTAAAACGATAAGACACCAGCACATAGACCAAATCGCTGAAGTTACGACCCGTGAAACTGTGAGAAGCGCAAGGTTTGCGAATTCCATCCCCGTTGCAGCGTCAAACTTAGGTTAAGAGTTAAAAATATAGTAATTATTTCTTTGTTCATATTCTGGATTCAAAATAATAATACGGCTACTCGAGTGAATAAAACAAACAAACAAATTTAAAACAAACGCCAAAAACCGAATATCAAATGCAGTGGTGTAGCTACTTTGGGTGGGCGGAAGTTGGTGGTGCCACCCCAAGGAAAGTATAAAGCAATAAATTGATTGATATGATAAAGGAAAGGATCATTTATTATTTATAATATTGAAGAAATACGAAAACACAATAATAACTAAGACAAAAAAGGAATTGTTTTACAATTTAAATTTCTTCTTTCTAGTGGCAGCTGCAAACTCACCAATAACTTTATCGAAATTTATATTTTGAATTGCCTCGTGTTCTATGGTTAACATACCAATATTGCCAAGCTTCGATTGGGTCATTGTTGCCCGCAAATAGTTTTTTATTCATTTAATTTACTTAAACTCATCTCACATGAAGCTACGGATACGCAAACCACCATGAACAATTTCAGTGCAATCATAAGATAAAAAATCTAGAGACACCCAATCAGTAACATTGGCGGCTTTTAAATTTCTTCGCAGTCTTGGTATCTTCAAATATTCGGTTTCTGAGACCTCATCATAAATATCAGTAAATTTAGATGTAGCAAATTTTAGTTCTTCAGTATTCGCCAAAAGCAAAGCATTTATTGGTACGGATAGAACAATGAAGCTACATTTTGAAGAGCCTTCGGTCTTGTTTGGAGTTCAACTTTGAGGGTCAAGACATTCCAACATATCTTTTTGATGTTCCGCTTTCAGTGTAAGTCCTGCATAGCTGGCCATCTCACCAACTATCTGTTTGTAACGCCGAAGTCGCTTTTCAGTTGGAATATCCTAGTCTTCTGATTTTTTTGTTGCATTGTCTATTGAATCTTTCACAATGTGATCCCGTTTTTTTTCAGTATAAAACCGAAGTGCCTATATTTTTGTAGCAGTTTCGTCAACAGTCAAACCTTTACTTTGCAATGCAATCTGTGCAGCATTTATTTCCCGAAGAAAAGATAACATAAAAAAGTATAATTGCACCCAGCAGGCATAAGGTTTTGTGCAGCACCTCTGGTGTCTACACTTTGTTGCCCATCACACAACTTCTCAATTACGTCTACAAATCCTTCAAAGTTCTCTGCTAGTGCTTTTACTGCACGGTAATGAGCACTCCAACGAGTGAACTGATAATTTGCTGTGTTTCATTAGCACTTCCCAATGGCTAGTAGAGGTGGAAAAAAAAAAGAAAAAATCGTCTCTACCGTTCCAAAAAATGTAACGTATGATACATTTTGTGCAATTGAATGTTGACAATACAACCAATAGAAATTGATTTATTGTTTTTTGTTTAATAATGGGCTGTACTCCTCCGTGCACACGGCTCATAACAGCAGCATTGTTATAGCCTTGGGAACGTCACATCATAATATCTTAATCGTCTGTCTTAAGCTTGTCAAGAGTTTAATCGCTTAGATCAGCAGCTTTGCAAGGAAAAAATCCAAGAAATGATTCTTTGACTTCCACTTTCCTATTTTCTTTTTTCAAATAACGTATCATTTCATACATATGGCCAATATGTGAAATGTCAGGTCTGCTATCAAACATTATACCAAAATATTTCGCTAATTTAAGTTCCTTAACAAGCTTAGTTTTTACATGGTTTGATAGACCATAGAGAATTCATTCTGTATATCTGGCGACAAATATGATACTTTTGAAGTTTTATCTTCCTCTAATTTCATCATGTGTTCTTTCAACACTACATCATACTTTGTCAATAGTGTTACTAATTCCTTTATATTTAGAGTCTTGTCCTTCATCATGCCTACGAAACGCCAAGTTTTGTTTAGCCAGAAATAAAGTTATATCCAGTAATCTAGTCAAAAGACGCTTTCACTTCTGTTTTTCTGTATCCATCAATTATCACATTTTTTCACAGTGGCATATTCACTTCCTTTTTTTTATTATTTCAATGCGAACATTGCAAGGAACAGGTATATTTATATAGATTTCAACATCTTCTTTGTTTGTGTTAATTAATTCTTTACTGTCAATGTTGCTTCCTGAAGATGGGCTGATATTATAACAAGTAAGGAAGGGCTAAGTTCGGATGTAACCGAACATTTAATACTCTAGCAAAGTCAAATGGTATACTCGTTTGAGATTTCTTTGTGGATTGACCGATATTTTCGGTTGAAGGTCAACTATAGCCACTGTGGTCCACATATTCAGTACCTAGGAGCTTGAACAGTTTTGGTTCGATTTTTAAGTTATTATTGCATTAGCGGTTTAGGAGATATGCACATTAAACCTATTACGGGCGGGACCACGCCCACTTAAAAAAAATTTTTAACTGCAGATGCCCCTCCCTATTGTGATCCTTTCAACCAAATAGCAGTCTTGTATCTTGTTTTGGAGCTTAGTTATGGCAATTTATTTGTTTTTGATTAATGGCGTTTTGTGGGCGTGGCAGTGGTCCGATTACGCCCATCTATAATACCAACCGTCTCACGGTACCAAGAAACATGTCTACCAAGTTTCGGATGGACGGACGGACAGACAGTCACCCGGATTTCAACTCGTCTCTTCATCCTGATCATTTATATATACATAACCATATATCTAACTCGATTAGTTTTAGGTGATACAAACAAGTTAGGTGAACAAAACTATTATACTCTGTAGCAACAGGTTGCGAGAGTATAAAAATCATATCTTGCATTTGCAGCAAGGTGAAAATCAGTTTCTTTTGATGAACTTGGGCTGTCATCAGCTTTTGTAACATACTTTAGAATCGATCTAGACATACTCTGAGCTACATCCAATCTACTCTGTTTGACTTTCCTTTGCTGAAATCCACTTTTTCTTTTGGATGTATGCACTTCCCGGGTAATTTTTCTCCTGATGTTTGTTTCTTACACTAAAACAAAAAGCCAGTTGTTATGGTCTATAATGTGAGAGTATTTTCTTATAAACTAGTTAAGAAATATAAATCGAATTTACTAAAAACTTTATTACAAAAATTTGAAATTAATTAATTAGACTAATTAGTAAAATTATTCGAATAACGAGATCAGTAAATTACTAATTTAGTATTCGAATAAAGTTATTAGTACATTCGGTTTCATTCGAATAACAAAATCATTCATAGTCGCATACTAGTCGAAGTGTAAATTTAAATTTATTATTGTACAAAACGTGCAATTTACAACATAAAATGATATTAAGATATGAAAGTAGATAAAAACTCCTGACTTATATTATATTACTTTAGTTTATAAGGAAATACATTATGTATGTTACAATCCGACAAAATTTCCGTTAAAAGTATTATGACGTAATAGTTCAGGTTGACTTTATGGTGCCAGTCCATACGTACTCACGCAAATATGACCGATATGAATGAAATTGGCAATTTTTGCATAACCCTATAGGTTTCGTCCTTAGAAGTACTAGGAAATTAATTTAATTATAAAATTATCTTTCCTGTAAAATATTCGATATCAATCAATCAATCTTTTTAATCTTCACAAAACAGCATTTAAGTTTTTTTTTTCTTTTTATTATCTATCAGTATAATACACTAATAATACACTTCACGGAACAAATAAGAAATGTTGCAACTGAGACGTCAAAGATCGCGAGTATGTAACGGGGAATCTCTCACGACAGCGTCAGGCTCTTTTGAAGGAATCCCCGAATCATACATTGAGCTAACCTAGTGCTAGTGAAGGAATCCTCGAAAAATTTTTTTTTTGTGCTAACGATTTATTTTTGAGAGACAGTGTGGGTGTCACCCCCAAAAAGGGTGCGGCCCGCCCCCATCGCCTTTGCTACGCCCCTGATCAAATGGCTACGCGATTGCATAAAACAAAAAGTTTATTCCAGACAAGGAAGCGGCTACTGACGGACCAGAGGATTAACTAACGTCAACGCTCTCAGTAAATAGAATAAAGTACAACTTCGACGCGTGCAACAATATCCTATTGGGAAGATGGACATCATTATTGTGAGAAATATTTAAAATTTTTACTGTTCATAAAAATTAACAAGTAAAATAAAGATAATTGCAAGTGAAAAAAGATAGTTATTGTTTTAAACAATCATAAAATTGTGAAAAACATGTTTAAAAAATATTTCAAACCTTTGCGGTTTACAAAGTTTTACAAGGAAAGAGAAGATAGTTTTTATTATAGAATACAGACAAAATATAAGGTTGGCAACTAAGTAATAGCGGATTTTTTAAAAAAAATCAAAGACAATTTTTCTGGAACTAAATAACTTTATTCTGTAATATATTGGCCATTTTGATCAATGACCTTTTGACGTCTTTCAGGCAGCATTATAATCCCACGTTCATAAAACTTCTGGTTTTTATTAGCAAAAAACTTAATCAGGTACGATTTGATATTATCATCATTATTGAAATTTTTATGTCCGATGGTGCAAGGTCAGGACTATATGGTGGATGTGGCAAAACATTCCAAACAAGCTCCAATAATTTTTGCCGAGTGACCAAAGATGTGTGTGGCCTTGCATTGTCATGATGGAATATAACACCTTTTCGATTTATCAATTCGGGCTGCTTTTCTGCAACTGCATTGTTCCATTTCGTTAGTTGTTCAATGTAGACAACAGAATTGATCGTTCGGTTGGGTTGTAAGAGTTCAAAGTAGACAATTCGAACAATATTGTAAATTCGAAAATGAATCATGCGCATAATACAGATAAACCAAATAACCAACCATCTCCACGACCTTAACATAACACGTTAATAACAGCATATTCTTTTACCCCGAACTTAGGTAGGTATGCTTTGCATTTGGTCGTCAACCAAATCGTTATACCCAATACTCTTACTACTTCTACTACTCTACTACGAATAACTCCCATATTCCACTATTACTTAGAAATCAGTTCAATACTTCTTTTAATAACAGACCTAACTTGCCACCAAAACCACCGACCCCAATGGAGGTGCACCATTCATTACATTCAAGACAAATTAATTACCGAAATAGAGATGGTGCCTTCCAAAACAAACACTCTCCAAATATTGTAAAATATAACGAATTTTGTATACTAATACGAAGTAACAAACCCAAACGATTGCCAAGAAGAATAATATCCGAACGGAATTTATGACGACGTTTCGCACTATAACAATTATGATTCTGCAATACAAGACGATCTTAATAGTTGTCATTTTTTAGATTACCCCGTCTTCGTTCCTTATTACTAATTTAGAACAAGGTGCGGAGACAAAATATATTTTTCTTATTGATACTGGTTCTAATAAGAATTATATGCAAACAACAAGGATCAGAAATCCAATCCGGGACGATTGAAATTACGCACCACACCTTCGTAGATATTTTTGGACCAGCAGTAGGGAAAAATTTTTTTCATTCTACCAACTCTAAGGTCGTTTCATGGCATAGTAGGTAACGACACACTTGAAAGCAATCGTCCATGTCGATAAAAGTTTAATGACAATTTGCCAAAATATAAATATAGCGCTAAAGCAGCGGATATCACACGAGGTCAGCAATGTCGGAATCGATATTTCGCATCTCTCGCTAAAAGAACCATATAAAATTAAATTAATAATGCTTAAACCTTATCGCCGATCCCGACGAAAAGCTCACCTACACTATTCTGTTTAACAATGAAATACGAACAACAACTGAAACCCCTGTTTACTCCAAACCTTAGCCGTATCCAATAACATTAAAAAAAGAAAGAAATAATGGAATAGTAAGAATATGAAAATTTAAAATTTAAAAATATAGAATTAGTATTTCAAACCTTAGCAGATATGAAAATCCAATTAGATAAAGGTACATTTGCAAAAAAGGAAATAGAATTCTTGGGACGACGATTTATTAAAAATAGCTAAACCTTTAGCAGCACTCTTAAGAGAGAAGTGAGAAATGTCTCTAAACGATATTCAACGAAAATATATTATATATAAATTAGATAACGAAACCTTAGAAACATTCAATAAAATAAAAAACACCTTTGTATCAAAAGAGATACATTGTTCTAGCACATTCAAATTTCGAGAATGATTTTGAACTAACAACCGACGTCTCCGATTTTGTTTTAGGAGACGTTACAAAATACGCAATAACAAAAGACCTAACTAGCAGAGCGATAGACGACGTTAGAAGACATCTAAGAGATATTTATATATATGATGATAGACGAGTTAGGAATAGAAGGTCACACTACTCCTCCATACAAAAACTAAGCTAATGGACAAGTGGAAATATTTCACTCCTCACTATTAGAAATAATGTGTTCCATAAAATAAAACGGTGGACACAGAAATTTTTGAAAGAGCAGTGTCCGAATATAATTATTCAGTTCATTCTACAACATAAAAAAGACCGGTGGACTTATTTTTTCATAGAAATGTTACTTTTACCCCCACAGACATAGAAAGAAGCAGGCAAAGTAACCTACAAAATTTATCTCAGAAACCAAGCAAGGATATCGAATACCACAACAAGAGTAAGTAAAAAAATAAAGACATATCTACCAGGAAAAATAATTTTAATTAAGTTAAGTAAACCTTACAGTAAAGAGGTAGTTAAAGTACCGTGTTAACTAAAAAAGGACAAATAATTCACCAAAATAAAATACGCAATTAAATAAGATAAGCATACTAAAGCTGCAAAATAATCGATGGGACTATCGATAGTATCGATCGTTTTATTTTCGTCTCACTATCGATTTATTTTGACTACCGCTGGCTTATTCCTTACGAAACTTACCAACAATTTTTACAAAATTGCAAAATTCTACATAATGATATAGTCTGGTAATACCAAATATGAAGTTTAATTTTGGATAACATCCCAGTCATGGCTACGGAAACTCCAATACATTGAAGGAATTAAAACGGAAACTAACCCATACACACTGTGCAACTTATAAGCTCCATGAGCATGAACGATCGCACTTATAAAGATTTCTGATAACGCTGTAGGGCAATTAACCGGTTTTTTTTCCCGATTGGTGGCTTGCAGGAATGGTAGCCTCAATATCCCCATTTCATTCTTGGCTCGGCTTCGCGCATGTGGCTTCAAATTCGAAAGTACACACAAGTTTTAAAATAATGTACAAATTATTAAATTTCGCTATTAATTACACTTAAATTATGTGTTGGGTGCGTTAAAAGAATGTTGCGGAAATATTAAAATTAGGTAAGAATTTTTAACGTTCTGAAATGCGAGCTGTAAATAACTTTAGTTATTCATTCACGCAGTATTTTAATAAGAATTAAGAAAAATTATGGAAAAACAAGAATTGTAAAGTAACCTCCATTTTATTTAGGACTCCTGATTTTAGAGAATCATGAAATTGAAACACATTAAGTGAACATTCTGTTGTGATCGAATTTCACAATATGCATATACCTATACATACTCATACATACACCCAGAGGTATTAGTCTGCCTACAGTGCGTATAAACGAATATCACGTTAATTAATTTTAATTTTACATAATCGCAGAGAATGTTTAGCCAAGCTGAATTGCTAATATCTGATAGGAGAACAGCACTAAAGGTTAAAAGCGGAAACAAATTATAATTGTTAAACAAAAACAAGTGGATGTTGAGGAATTAATTTACGTATAAATTTATTGATCTCATATTACATTTGTAAATGTATAAAAATTTACTTATATAATTACATGGAAAATTTTTTATGTTACGATATTAATTTTATGTGTTTTCCCGCGTTGTTAATGTTTTCTTTTATAATAAATCCATACAAATTTGTACACAGCCGAGGTCTCATAATTTAAAGTAAGTAGATATCAAGAGAAAAAACTATCGATACTATCAATAGTATTTTTTTAAAATAACGACTTTTCCGACTAACGAAATATACACGGAAACCCTTGAACATATTCGGTTGGTTGAAAAGTGCGTAGTGCTCACCAAGAAATAGCACTACTACCTATTTTTTCTCAAGTTGGTACATCTGTCGCGACAACACATGCAAAGTGACAAGTCATTCTGTCAATTAATTATTTGTTTACAAGCCATTTGAAATCAACGTGTCAGAGTATTTTTTTAATGTGGGAAAAATTTTATATCGCGCAATGATTTGATTCTTTGTTTTGAAAGGTTTTAAAACAAATGAAATTTTTGAAAAATTGTAAAAAGTGTAAGTTAAGATAGCAAGTGTAGCTCGATCTGCAATTTCCTTGGCTTCAGTGAGCGGCTTGATCTTACACTCGACAGTGAGAACCGTTTTTACACAGCGCATGTGCTCTTACGTGTGCGCTATATAATTTTCACTCGAGCACAGTCGGCATAGTCTACTAGAAGTTACGACACAACAACGATCGTCGTGATCCGATGGAGTATCAATACATCGCGCTCCACTACCGAATAATAGTTAAGTGCTCAAACCGCAATGCGGCACTTTAGAAGTCGAGAAATAATTGTTGCCTCGCTTTACTAACTAAGCTTACCTCGCAATGCGAAATGAGTACATTTGTAAAATGTAATAATGAAGAGTTAACACATCACATTCAATATGAGATTGAACGGCTTCTCAGAGAATCCACTAAGAGAAAAGTTTTGTTTACTTTAGCATTGCTTCAAAAGGTAGGTTAAATATATTTTTTCAAGACAATATATTTTTATATAAACTTTATTGTTACAATTAATAGCATAAAAAAACTGAGCACGTTAGAGAGAGCCAATATCTGGAGCAAAGATACATTGCAGTTGGTTCATATCAAATTTTTATACGTGCCTATTTTTTTATATTTTTTAACGAGCGCTAATGTCAACAAATTTTTGTTAAGAATTACAAAGAGAAATTGCTCTTAATTTTTTCTTTAGGTTGTGAAATGCGATGACCAAAAGTGCTGCAGCCCACGCCGGAGTGATCTGCATATGATTCTTCACGACCGTTTTCTGCCACCTCCTTACCCTATCACTCAGGTTGATGGACTTTATATTAAAAAAACACCTCACATTATTTATGGACGCCCCCTAATGGGTAGGTTGAAAGATTCCATTCAACGTTAATGGAAATAGCCCGTTCCATCAAACAGCAACAGCAGTTGTGCGAAACTATAGATCTCGTACTATTAGCAACACATAAGTACAACAGTATTCACTCCACAACCAATGTCAAGCCAATTGATGTTTTTCAAAATTGTTCAAATGAAGAATTGAAAGTAATACTCCAAAAATTGTTTAAAGTGCAAGAGAAAACATTAAATAAATGAAACAAAAATAAAACGATGAAAACATACGAATCGGACGAGAAGATATTTTTGAAAAGTAATAAACGGCTTGGAAATAAATTTTATTATATCTATGTCGGAAAAGTAGTAGAATGAGAGCACAGCTCTAATACATGGAAAAAAAATCCATTAAGGTAATCTCAGATGATATTTTCCGTTTACGCACACGTTCACAAAAATTAAAAACCATTACAAATAAATTCAAAAATTATAGTGAACACTTTTTAAATTTCAAATTATCAAGTGAAATGTTAAACCATATTGTCAACTATTCATAGAGTACAAATTAATTGAATTTGTAACACTATAATTGAAAATGTTATGAACGCTCAACCAAGCCATCCCAACTACCAATACTTTACAATACCAATCACAATTTTTTTAACAACAGTATGGAGTACTCCAAGCAACATACGACACCTCTTGAATACCCCCGCCTAAGCTTAATGGATTACCGCAACGAGAACGTTTCGGACTTGACAAGGAGGGTAGTTAAGATAGAAAGTGTAGCGCCATCTGCAATTTCCTTTTCTGAAGTTAGCGGATTGATCTTTCACTCGACTCGACTCGACACTCGACACTCGAGTGAGAATCGTTTTTACACAGCGCATGCGCTCTTACTTGTGCGCCATATCATTTGCACTCGTCATAGTCTACTAGAAGTTACGACACAACAACGATGTCGTGATTCGATGGAGTATCTATATATCACGCTCCACTAGCGAATAATGGTTAAGGGCTCAAACCATAATGCGGCACTTAAGAAGTCGAGAAATAATTATTGCCTCGCTTTGCTAATTAAGCTCAACCCGCAATACGAAATCGGTACATTTGTAAAATGCTTGGTTGGTTGCGCGTAACATTTGATCATAAAGCACAGAATAAAATCAACATTTAAACCCATCAATCAATTGCCATATAAAGGCAGAAGTGGAACAGAACTCCAAAAAAAAAAAAATCGATGACATCGATGGAGTATTTTACATAAAATTACATCCCAGGACATCAGCATCCGTGACATCGAGGGAAACTTCTCAGCATCTATCCCAGTATAAATTTAAGTTACATTGGAGTAAATTTGTAAGTGAAAATTAAAATTGATAAAGTGTGACTTACAAGCTATACTTAAAGTTAAATTTCGAAAATAAAAAGGCTATATTAATATTGAAAGTTTACGTTCACACCTCGGAAACTGCTTTATAATTAAGCAAAAATTAAAGTTCAAGTTTCAAGATTCAAATTATTCCCAAAGGTGTGATCCGAACACGTAAATACCCCGTTCATAGTAAAGTTATATAAATAAAATCTATATTGCATTTTTTATGGTTAAAAGTTTAAAGTTATCTTAAATAAAACTATTTTTTAAAACCACATACACTAAAAATTTAATATCCCGAAGAAATTTATATCATAAAATTTAGTGAAAACACGTGCGATTAAAAAGTTTGCATAAAATATAAAATAGCGGTTTCGATTGATAAAGTGCTACAGGCAATAAGATCCGCTAATGAAGAAACTAAGTTAGAACTAGCGGCCCAAATTAATAACCTTACTTCAGCTCTGAGACGGCTTGAGCCAACACGTGTCGAGCCATACTTACCGGTTTCGATCAAATTAGTAATACATTCGGGAAGTTTCAGTCTTATTTTAATAAAATCTTTGCCTGAATTTAACAGAGAAAATTTAAATTTTGTAATTAACTAATACCCCGAAGGTTCGGAACGGTACTATGTGGCAATGGGTATTTTTAGACATAAAATTGCTGGGTCAACTAACACGACTTTATCGTCCTTTAACACTGTGTTAAGTTTCAAGGTAATAATTGATAGGCTCGATCCAACTTACGCAAATAAAAGATCAATTCATGTCTTGGAAAACAAATTAAGTATTCCAAGGCAAGGAAATTTATCGATTTCAAAATACTACGATAAGGTAGATAGGCATTTAAGACTTAACGATCATAAGCATTACGATTTTGAGCAAACATTTGCCATGGGTAATTTAGTAAGACCAGCAATACCCCCCGGTAAACCATCCATTTATAATTTAGAAATTGAAATTAATCAATCAATAACATTCGGAATTTAATCAAAAATCTTCCATTTCTTAACGGAATTAAGGTAATGGAAAACCCATTTACATTAAAATCAATAAATGTGGTTAATCTTATAAAAGAAAGTGTTTGATCAATGTGTTTCATCACACAACGACGTTTTATTTGCTTACGAATATAACTAAATTTGATGGTATAATCGGCTACGATTTCTTTAAAGAGATTAATACGAAAATTGATATCGAAGCTGGATATTTACGTCATCGTAGTGGTGAAACCAAACTTTAGCATCTCCGTTGTAATCAAATACATTCAATCACAATAGAAGCAAATTCTGTTTCATCCACTATTGAAGCACAATTTCGTGAAATGATTGATAAAAATTCAAGTGCATTTGCACACCCAGATAGAGCCCTACATGTAATACGAACGTAGTGGCAACAATTTTCGAAAAGTTACCCCTATCCAATTTCAGCAGCGGAGTTTATTAACGCAGAAATCGAATCTCTTCTAAAGGATGGCATATTTCGTAAGTCGTGTTCTCCTTATAACTCTCCGGTCCATGTCGTGACTAAAAAAGGTCTGGACGAAAACGGAAAGCAAAAGCTGCGTTTGGTCATAGACTTCCGAAAAATTAACGAAAAAACTGTCCTCGATCGATACCCCATTCCCGACATATCTGCCAAGAATGACAGAAGGCAAACCTAGGCAAGTCATTATATTTTACCACTCTAGATCTAAAATCGGGTTTTCACCAAATTATTTTGCGAAACAAAGATAGACCAAAAACGGCTTTTAATATCAACAACGACAACTGTGAGATCTGCCGATTGCCGTTTATCTTAAAAAATGCGCCAATTATATTTCAGCGCGCTATCGATGATATTCTTCGCGACGAGATAGGTAAGACTTTTCACGTCTACATTGATGACATTATTATATTTTCGTCCGACGAAGAATCGCATTTGAATCATATAAATCGCATTTTAATGAAACTAGAGGCAGCAGGTATGCGTGTTTCGGCAGAAAAGTTCCATCCTTTTCAGCAGAGGTCGAATTTTTAGGATTTTTGGTTTCGCGAAATGGCATTTGAATATGCCCTAAGAAAATTCATGATATTATTAACTATAAAATGCCAGTAAGTCGCAGATAGTAAGTCAAAAAACGTTCAGATAATGCTCGATTCGGATGCAAAGCATGCCTTTAAAAAAATTAAAACTATTCTGGCTTCTGAAGACGTTCTTTTACTGTACCCAGTTTTAATAGGTCTTTTGAGTTGACTATTGATGCTTCATCGAATGTGTTAGGAGCTGTATTGTCTCAAAATAATAGGCTTATTACGATGATTTCGCGTTCGCTATCCAAAACTGAGCGAAACTACGCAACAAATGAGCGCGAATTGGTTGCCATAGTATGAAGACCCTTCGGCATTATCTTTATGGTATTCAAAATATTTACATTTCATTATATCAGAAAAAAGTTCCCGTTCAAAAATAAAGAGATGGAATGCATTCATCGAGGAATTTGCGCCTACATTTCATTATAAGCCAGGAAAGGAGAATAAGGTAGCTGATGTTTTGTTCAGACAGTTTATTAACTTAAGTAAATCAATAGAAACAGCGTATAGCGAAGAGTCTTCTACCAACGTCATAGAAACAATAAAGTATCCCGTAAATTAATTTAAAAACCAACTAATATTAAGAAAGGGCTCATCGTAAGGAAAGGTACAAAAATTGTATTCCAAAATACGTTCGACCTACAATTTGTTATGATAAGCCCTACTGATGCTTCATCGAATGCGTTAAGACCTTTATTGTCTCAAAATATTATAATAGGCCTATTACGATGATTTCGCGTATTCCATTGGCGGATTTACAGATTTGCTGCCGCTTCTACCTCTGAAATTCGATAGCTTAGTTTAAGTTTTCATAAATTATACTTTCTATCGATAAAATTTCCACTTTATGACTTAAAAACTAAGGTATGGTATCAAATCCTTGATTATTTTCAAATTCAAAAAATGTGCACTCCAAGAACGTTGATAACTATTTTTTATTACAATTACAATCTAAAAACTGAATAATAATTCTACTTTTTTAATTATTTGTTAGTATTAAAAATAAGGTTAAATTATAAAAGCGTTACTAAGGTGTTTAGCTTTTCTTGACTTAAAGTCGATCATAAATAGTTCTTGACTCTCTTCAAGCAAGAAAAGTTCTCTCACTAGAACGATTTGTTGCTGATGTACAAAAAGCAATACGAAGTGCTATATCCAAGTTTGGATAAATATTTTCTAAATTTTGTTGTCGCCAGAACGAAGACAGACTTTTCAATAATACAGATTTTGCTTTTATTAAAATTCTTTCAGAGGGCAGGTAAGCTTGAAAGTGTACGCATTCCTGAACTTAGTCTGTTTATAAGTCATTAGGATACGTTTCTTCCAAAAAACTGGCTTTTTCTGCCAGACTTGATGGTGACAACTCATTCACTCTCTCAGAAATGAAAATATCTTGCCGCTTTGCTAATTCGGATATGAGTCTATCTATGAGAATGAGAAACGTGTTAACCTTGAAGTAATCACTTGCCGACATTCGAATATCTTCTTCGGGAGTATCATCAAATCTTTTTTTTCTTTTTGGTTGTCGTTTTCCCATCTCTTTTGTATAATGTTTTCACACACTAAATTCCATTGCCTTTTCTTTAAAAAAACTAAAATTCTCTCGTTCAGCTATGAAAAACTTACGGAATAATTCGTAAAGATCAGGAACAGTGATCTGACGGAAAAAATTTAAGAAATCATTGACATGGTTCTCCAGAATCCAAAACGTATCTAATGACGAGCATGAGTTGATATGTGTGGGCTATATCTGGTGTTGAATCGATGATTAGGGAAAAATATTTTTTTTTTTTTAATTCGCCTCCAATCTTCCTTAAAACTTTCTGACCCATCCAGAGAATAAATTTATCGTGGCCTTTGATAAGTAACTGGTACTCCCTGATCCTTAATTCCCAAACCGTTCAATATGATGAGCCAGAAAAAGGTCGAGGATGAAAAGTAGATCTGAGCTACTCGATGATCTGCATTTTTCCAGTCATTGAATCCTCCGTTCCCAAATTGAGTTCTACACTACAATGGACCAAATGCAAAACATGGTCCACAATATATAGATCTGTTACTTTCAGAATAAACTAACCAATTTCGATTTTTCACATCATTGCTTTTAATTTTTCTTTAGAAGGTACTAGTTGGCAGAAAACGACGCTGATCAACATATATTCTTTCACTTTTAGGGAAGTCACAATATTTGTTTTGATCAAAGCAACTTGTCGTCAATTATCCAAGCGCGGGATCTTTATTTAGACTTTTGATTGTTCGTACTATTTCGACGTCGTTAGGACTCGACGTTTGATTCTGAGACGAATCTTTAATTGTTGGACTTACAGATGATTCCGCTTCTGCCACACTGTCACAAACAGCAGAGTATGTATCGGTCTCATCTTGTATTGTATTGTATCAGAGAACGTATATCATAGAGAAGGTTCAATTGCGGACCAGAGTGTGAATTGTCAAAACCTAACAAGATTTTAATAGTGGACTTCACCACTTTTGGCTCGGAAGGAGAAATTTTAACAGTGGAGAGTGAACAGAGCTGAGCATTGTATGAAAATTATGCTCAGAGACTTGCTTTGATATTACAGCTGCATGTTAGCCTTTTGGCTTATATTCTTATACGCTTATATGCAAACATATTTATTGATATGAATATCATTTTGCGAATTTTTATGAATGCATGCAAAACTGATAAGACTCTAATTAATTAATTAAATCTAAGTAATTTTAAAAATATTATATATAGTCAATTTGGGAATTTAATGATTTTATTTAGTTTTTACATAATATACTTTCCTAATAGAGATTAAATTTATTACAATATATGTATATGTACATATGTACATCTTTTATCATATTAATCTTATATATAATCATATGTATATCTGCACAAGCGCATTTGAATGTGCGGATTCAGAAATTGAAATCATAATTTTATCATATATCGACACAATATATGTGTAGACATAAAATTGCCGAACAAATAATGCATACACAAACCAACATACATACATATGTATATGCGTACACATGTAAATATGTCCCCCGCAAAAACATCAAACATTGTTTTACAAAAACAACAATCGTCACAAGTCAATATGTCAGCCAAATAGGCGAAGCCCAAATTTATAGTAAATTGCACAACAACATTTTCATTCATGAACGCAGGCGAAGTTTTAACAAGCAACCTCGGTTCATTCATAAAAACAGATACCCTCACATCTCCCCGAGCATGCTTTTGTCTACAAGCGTCTTTTCACGACGATGGCAAAAGCTAAAAATCATAAATTGAACAAATTTCTGATATTCCCTCTAGAAGGGAAAAGTGACAACCCTCAAATATGAGTATTAAAATATTTTAGAATAAAAGTGACAACATAGTATATTTGTCGATTTACAATTCAGAAACTTTTAAAAAATATTCAATATTCCTCTGATTTATGTATACAGTAAACCCCGGTTAAATATCACTCTCCAATCCCTCTTATCTGCCTGTGTCTTGCTG